ATAAACAAACAAATAAATAATATGTTTTTACTATAATTAAACCATGGTTAATTTATTTTTATCCGGGTAAACTATGCACAGTAGTACATACATGCATGTTGTATACAACATCTCAATCTGCTTATAAAGACTGCTCAAGCTGTTATTAAATGGTACATTCCTTTCTGCTATTAAGATTATTTTTCATATCACACTGCTCAGACATTCCACGACCCAACAAACGCCGATTAAACATGTTCAGTCGGGTGAAAACCAACTCCGACCAACGCCAACAAACGCCGACTGATCCAAAAAACTCCGACAGACTAATCTGTTGGCGTTTGTCGGCGGTTGTCGGTGCGGTGTGAATTGGCCTTTACTGACAGAGGTAGATGCTGTGTATTCAGGAATGTGTATTCTTGCTCGTTCACTTCATTGGGATCAGTGGGTTCGCGCTCCATAATGCTCTCCAATCTGATCAGTTCGTTTGCAAGTGCCAGTGTAGTCCATGCATCTTCAATTGGCCCAATTCTGTTCAAAATCCTCAATTGCCTTTTCTATAGCCTCGCTACGTTTTTCATATTTCTCACGGTTTTCATTTGCAATGTTGAACACACGTTGCAGTTCATCAGTGCCTGGTAGTTTTACTGAAGCAAATGCATAAACGGATTCACATGTGGACTTCAGCTGTTCATCTCTGTGATATGGTAGGTAAAGCTTTACTAGAGTTCCATAGAATTTTTCTGGGGTTTTCTGCTGTGAAAAACAGCAGAATGTGTCCCATATTTTTTTGAAGTGGCAAAACATTTTTACCTTTTGTCTGTCCTCCTTAAACAATGCGGTATTCACTTGCAAATTCAGCCATGCACATGTTCTCAAATTCAGGTCTGTTTGGTCCATGGTCTGCAAGTACCTCATTGGTAAACACATCTTTACAGCATTGTCATCAGTGGGTATGAAAATGACAGAACGTGACGATGATTTCAATTTCAGACTGCATGTGCGAGCGACTGCCTCTTGAGCGCCGACTTCTCTGTTCTTTGAATAGGCATTCATGACCTGCTTCATGCACTCACGATCAGACAGGTTATCATGGCTTGAGTCTTTTATCACTCTCTTCAGGTAACCACTCATCTCATGTTCAGCTTTTGCAATGTACGCGAGCATGTGCATGACACAGCTGTAGGGGTTCAGAATGAACTGTATGTCCATGTTTGCATTCCAAGCTCTTAATAACACTGGATTGTAGCCATTAACCCAGCAGTCCTGCGGTCAAACAAGTCACGCAGAGTTTTCTCCCAGTGCGCTGGAGTCCCTCTTAATGGTTGCATGAAACGTGTTGCCTCCTTATTATTCACAAGTTTTTCTAACTCCTGTTTGTCCTGCAGCAGAGAACAGTTGCGTCCATCGCGGGTCATGGTTTTTGCTTTTCTCAGCTGGATAGACATACTAGATGTGGCCATGTGCATTTCAGTGACAAACTGAGCAAAGAAGATGTAGTTTGTGTCTCTTGCACAACGATTGTCAATAGAGAATAGCCTCGTGTTAAAGTACCTGCTGGGGGAAACATGTTTTGCTCTGTCAGGCTCATCAAAGGTATTTTTGCCATCATTTTTGCAAGTTAATTTCAATACAGGTATTATTATAATAAAGTGAATTCATTAAAAACAAAGTTAATCTAAAAACATTATTATAAAAAAGTAAATTCATTAAAAACAAGTTAATTCAATTTGAATAAAATATATAAATAATTTCATAATAAGTAATAAATAAATATATATATAATATACAAATAAATAAATCATTAAACATAAGTTATTTAAATAATACATTATAATACAAATCACTAAAAAAAAAAAATTCATTTGAATAAATACATAAAATTAATACCAAAAAAAATTCATTCCGGGAGGCATCCAATGTACTGTAGAAAACAAACATAAGACAAAATAGCTTCGTTAGCTGCATGATGATCACATCAATCAAGTTAACAGTATGATGTACAACAGGGGTGCCCAAACTCAGTCCTGGAGGGCCAGTGTCCTGTAGAGTTTAGACAATTAGACACACCTGAACCAGCTAATCAAGCTCTTGCTAGGCATACTAGAAACTTCCCAGCAGGTGTGTTGAGGCCAGTTGGAGCTACACTCTGCAGGACACCGGCCCTCCAGGACCTCTAAACCCAACGTGTACAAAACACTAGATTTGAATAAAAACATGTTTTGGCTCATTTATAAGCCCTTTTAACTAGTGAGGATCAGTACGATGTTCTCACTAGTTGGTTGTCATGATATTTCCCTATATAAGTGAGAACATTTGGTCCTCACAAACAATTACAATCAAACCTGTATACACACACACAGGAAGGGAGAACGGGAGGGAGAGAAAGTTTACCCTCTGGCAGCCATATCACCCTGCAGCCCAAGACTGGTTGCCCACTGAAGCTAAGCAGGGTTGAGCCTGGTCAGTACCTGGATGGGAGACCTCCTGGGAAAACTAGGTTGCTGCTGGAAGAGGTGTTAGTGAGGCCAGCAGGGGGTGCTCACCCTGTGGTCTGTGTGGGTCCTAACGCCCCAGTGTAGTGATGGGGACACTATACTGTCAACAAGCACCGTCCTTCGGATGAGACGTTAAACTGAGGTCCTGACTCTCTGTGGTCATTAAAAATCCCAGGGTGTCTTTCGAAAAGAGTAGATGTGTGACCTCGGCATCCTGGCCAAATTTGCCCATTGGCCTCTGATCATCATGGCCTCCTAACCATCCCCCTATCTGCTGATTGGCTTCATCAATCTGTCTCCTCTCCACCAGTAAGATGGTGTGTGGTGGGCGTTCTGGCGCACTATGGCTGCCGTCGCATCAACCAGGTGGATGCTGCACACTGGTGGTGGATGAGGAGATACCCCCTCACAATGTAAAGCGCTTTGAGTGCCTAGAAAAGCGCTATATAAATGTAATGAATTTTTATTATTATTGCCTTGGCAACGTCATCTGATTGGACTGCTGCCAAGTTTAAGACCACTGACCCACTGACCAGTCTGCAACAACAACAACCTATTTTCTGAGGTGAGTCACTTTTTACTTTTCTACAAACAATGATTAAAAGTTGTAACTTTACAACTACAAAATAAATTCTTCCAATTAAATAAAGTGATAGGGGCCTATATGACAGTGTCAGGACAGGCTGACAACAGAGATTGTAATGTAATAAACCCTATTCTGACAGGATTTGGTCAGAGAAGAGTTTTTCTGACTGGAAACATTTTTTTTAAAGTAATTTTTTAACTGATTTCACATAACATTAATGATTTTTAAAAGATTATGAAGAATTGAATATGAAAATTGAATATATCAATAACTTGAAAATTGAAATTGAATATCAATAACTTTCAATAAATAACTCGCATTAATGAATAAATAAATTCCTGTGCAGTTTGAAGTTTAAAAAAAAAAAACGAGGGGGACTGAGTCGTTGATTGCAATTCGCAACCTCACCGCTAGAAAATTTACACACTGCACCTTTAAAAAAAGAGAAATCATGGTCTGAAGGAGAAGGAAAAAGAAAAAGAAAAGGTATGCTGTCAGAGACTGCCCTTTTTTCACTCCCTGACAGGAAAGTAAAAAAAATCTAAATCAATTACATGAATTATTAAATAAATTCTTGTGAAGTATGAAATAAAAAAGATAGCTCAATTGTAACTTTGCATGTACAGTACACATATTAACTGCATTATGTCCTATTTGAATCAGATTAACAAGTTTCATAATTACCCTTTCTGTGTATTTTTTTCTTAGCATCACAATGGCCACATGCAGTCCACACAGCCGTCCAGAGCCATTTAAATGTAAATGTGTTGCTACACGGTAGCCTATGAAAAGTGTGGAGAGAAAATTGAAGCAGAGCAACACAAGTTAACAGCCTTCAGTGTTGTTACAGATGGCAGTAACACTTACATGTCATCTAAGAATGGTGAGTATCGCAGGAACAACTGTGACCCATTGAGTAAACCACTGTAAAATCAACAGAACAACAAAAGAATCAATCGCTGGAAAACACCAAAGAGTGCAAAGTTTTCACAGTCCATCATAATTGCTGCTTGTCACTAAGATCTTAGGATAAAAGCCAAACGTTGTGGCCTCAACAGACATTTATCAAAAACGGTACTATATTAACCTTAGCTAAAACTTTGGTCACGATTAACAGCTCTAAATGGGCAGTGCAAAAGTTCAAAAATTCAATGGTACAACACAGATCAGACAAGGCCACTGCAACTTTAGCAATTTTGATTGCCTTGAAAACTTTTTGGACTATTTCTTTACAATTTTTAAATGATTGTGACGCTACAATAATGTGCAGCTAAAAATAAATGAGTATTTCTGAATATACTTATATATTTGATGAAAAACAACAAAACAACATTTAGTACAGTATTGTGCAAAATACCTGCGCATAATTACAATTAATTGCAATTGCAAAATTAATGTTTGGAAAAGGAAATATCAGTCATCAAGTTCTGCACAATACTGTTCATTCAATAATATAACAGATTTGTAATATACATCAAAATCACTTCAAATTACAGTAAACTATGACTTAAGAATACACTAATTATTTAAAGGGGTCATGAAAAACTGTTTTATTCAGAACAAGATACCAATCTGACTAACATGATTATGATGTAACAGATGACAAAAACGGCATCAACTTATTAAATGCATTTTTGGCCCTTCACTTGGTGTGTCTGTGAACTCACAGATGAGAGAAAACAGGATTACTGGACTACAAATAATATTACCTTTCAAAGGATCCTAAAGAGTTCAGACTTTGTATGAAAAGATGTTAATCATAGCAGTGGGCATTTACATTGAAGTCTTTAAGGAGACACGTCCCTTTAATTGGAGTATTTAAATCAGAGGATCATTTAAAAATGCAGTTCATGAACCCTCTAAACTTTTGATACACGTACTGATAATTGATTGCTTGATTTATACATTTTTCAGGGGATTGATTGATTTCCTAGTTTATTTTTCATTTGGTACACCATAGGTGAGACCCCGGAATTCGAAGGAGGGGTCAGCTATGGGGTGAAAAACCATACCATATCAAGCAAGTATGGAAAGCCAAGCATTTTTGTGAAATTAGCCACCAGCAAATTTAAAACCGCCCCACTGAGCCTGACTGAAGACCAGGAAAGAAGAGCCAAAGAGATCCTCGTTCCACATTCCCCTCTGGTCTCAGTGGACAAAGTGAAGCCTTCGGAAGAAGGGCATGTCAGTCTCCTGGGAGAGATAGAGGAAAGTAAGTACATTTAACAGAGGCACGTGTAATGCAGTGCAGTGACTTGGTTAAAAGAGTTCATTCTCATGAACCAATGCAAATTTAACAAACCTTAAAAAAAACTGTTGTATGTTTACAAATCGCTCTTGTGACTTTGTCATAGAGCACTATGCACCAGTCTTAATCTGCTTAAAGTCAAACACACCTTAAAGGAATAGTTCACCCAAAATTGTCATCATTTACTCACCCTCAAGTTGTTCCAAACCTGTATAAAACTCTTTGCTCTGCTGAACACAAAAGTTGTTATATGTAAGAATGTTTGTAATCAAGCAGTTTTAGGTCACCACTGACTTCCATATTATGAAAAATTAACAAAAAAAAATGTGCGCATTCTAAGTAATACCAATCAAACTGCAGTTGGGTTGTTTTGATTAAGTAATAATAACTTCAAATACAGGTAATTTATTAGTTTATTGAAAGTATGTTTGTTTACATATTAAAAGTATGTTTTATAGCAAAAGCAGATAACTCCACATTTCATGTTTTAGTTTAAAAAAAAACACTTGTTTAATCTTTGTAATCGCCTTTGTGATCATAAACTGTATGGATGTGATTACACGCAATACACAGAGCTTTTCCCTCATCAGTGTAACGCGCTGTTTTTGCAAGCTTCCGAGAAAACATTTCAGCTTTTATTTTCCTTTTTCGCCCTGAAGAAGATATCACAGATTCATCAAGTTCGTCGAAATGATCCTCGATCACTTTTAGTCAGCTCTGACGAAACTCCTCTCAGCTAGCACGTTTTTTCAAAGTGAAAGTAGCCTTGTCACCTGACCTGAATACAGCGTGCTGATTCGCTAAAATGGACTTATCGGCTTCTGTTCAAAAACAACGAGGGCGCTTGTCGGCTTCTGCAGTAAAACTTGAACTCGTGATGCCTTGAAAGTGGACAAAACCAGCTTTTTTGACATAACGTGTTTAGGGTTCAAATCGCACTATATTTCTTTTAGTGGCGTTTATTGTTTTTTGCAAATAAACTCCACATAAATAAATACATAAATACACACACACACATTATATATTTATATATATATATATATATACAGTGGGGGAAAAAAGTATTTAGTCAGCCACCAATTGTGCAAGTTCTCCCACTTAAAAAGATGAGAGAGGCCTGTAATTTTCATCATAGGTATACCTCAACTATGAGAGACAAAATGAGAAAAAAAATTCCCAAAAAGACTCATGGCTGTATTAGATCAAAAGGGTGCTTCTACTAAATACTGAGCAAAGGGTCTGAATACTTAGGACCATGTGATATTTCAGTTTTTCTTTTTTAATAAATCTGCAAAAATGTCAACAATTCTGTGTTTTTCTGTCAATATGGGGTGCTGGGTGTACATTAATGAGGAAAAAAATTAACTTAAATGATTTTAGCAAATGGCTGCAATATAACAAAGAGTGAAAAATTTAAGGGGGTCTGAATACTTTCCGTACCCACTGTATATATATGTATACACATAAATTAATGGTGCCCCAGAACTGTCAGGTTACAAACATTCTTACAAACATCTTCCTTCGGATTTAGAAGAGCAAAGAAAATCATACAGGTTTGGAACAACTTGAGGGTGAGTAAATGACGACAATATTCATTTTGGGTTGAACTATCCTTTTTGGGATATTGTAAATCTGCAGAATATAGCATAAAAGACATGTGGGCAACCTTCATGCTTTGTGGTGGGAGCATGTTGGAGTACTGTACTGTAACAGAACGCCAATAATGTTACCTCTGGTATGTGATTTGTAGTTGCAGGAGGTGAGGATGGCGCAGGTGCAGTTCGGTAAAGTGCCCGTCCTGGACTTCAAGTTAAACTGCAAATCAACAGCAGTTGAGGTTTCTCTTTGGCGAGATGAGGCTCTTATCGAGCTGTTAAATGGAGACACAGTGGAGCTGACCCACCTCTGCCCAAACACTAAACAGAATGGAAGAATTCAATTCAATTCTTCCACACACACCACTGTAAAGGTACACCATGTAATGCATAATATTATTTCTTTAAATCAGTCTCTCTCAAACTGGAGCCCCTCCCATCACTACACACATCTGCCATATTAGTAACATAAGGCAACACAACTTGCTTATAAATCTGCCTTTTGTTTTTTGACCGTGTGGGGACATCTGTTTGGTCCGGATGAGGAAAATGGCTTATAAATCATGATCTTTCTTGAAAATCTAAGGAAGCTTTTTGTGATGGGTAGGTTTAAGGTTAGGGGAGAGAATATACAGTTTGTACATTATACAAATCATTACATATATGGAAAGCCCCCATAATGATAGGAATCCCAGTGTGTGTATGGGGGGGCTCATTGAGGAGAGGGTGGAGGTGGTCGGAGTCTCTTCCGGAATGGGCGTGATCGTGCTTCTGGGGGTGGATTACGAGGAGTACGTTGTCCCAGACTCAATGTGTTCAGGAGACATTGAGGACCTTGTGGAACAGCTGCCACTGAAGATGAAAATAAAACATATTAACAACCGGGTGCTAAGCATCGAAGAATAGAATTTAAAAAGAAAGTTCTGTGTTAAATGATATAGGTTAAGGGAGTAGTTTCCCAATTATTAAAATATTATTTGTTCAGCTGTTTAGTTTGTGTGCTTGTATAATATAGTTAATTGATTAATTGGTTTGTTTGTTTATATGTAAATGTTTTTCAATTGGTTTCCAATAGTTCTGCTGTTTACTTTGTATTTCTCAGAATTTTAGTTTTTTTTCTTCTTCTCATATTTGGTTCAATTAAAGTCATTCGATAATTCTCAGTTATGTCCGTTTTGATGCTTTTCACACATGCACGCCAGACACAGCCTAGGCTCTATATATTACTGACAGTCCAACATTCTCATATGATAATTATTTACATTTTCATCACAATAGTATATTAAGTTACAGAGCTTAGCAGGTTTAACAACATTTGTATGACAAAAAAAGGACTCTGGACATTTAAATAAAAAAGCAGTACACAAAACATGTATAACGTAAAACATTTTCAATCAATATTTAACATCAAATGTATAAGTGTCGAGTGTTTTATAAATAGATTGCCAATTAAGTCTAGGATACTGTGATTAACACCACGGCAAATTAACAAATATGAATGGATGTTTGAAACATTTTAATACTGTTCTATATGATGCCAAAAAGATTTGCATGCACGAGGTAAGATTTGTGAAAATGTACACAAGGTTGCAAGCCTAAATTCATTTTGCAAACGCAAGAGAAGACTTATACAGATGGAAATTGTGTTTCAAGTACACAAAAAAAAGATTTGCAGCATTATATAGGTTAATGAAGTAGTTTCCCAATTATTAAAATATGATTTGTTCAGCTGTTTAGTTTGTGTGCTTGTATAATATAGTTAATTGATTTGTTTGTTTATATGTAAATGTTTTTCAATTGGTTTCCAATAGGTCTGCTGTTTACTTTGTATTTCTCAGAATTTGTTTTTTTCTTCTTCTCATATTTGGTTCAATTAAAGTCATTCGATAATTCTCAGTTATGTCCGTTTTGATGCTTTTCACACATGCACGCCAGACACAGCCTAGGCTCTATATATTACTGACAGTACAACATTCTCATATGATAATTATTTACATTTTCATCACAATAGTATATTAAGTTACAGAGCTTAGCAGGTTTAACAACATTTGTATGACAAAAAAAGGACTCTGGACATTTAAATATAAAAGCAGTACACAAAACATGTATAACGTAAAACATTTTCAATCAATATTTAACATCAAATGTATAAGTGTCGAGTGTTTTATAAATAGATTGCCAATTAAGTCTAGGATACTGTGATTAACACCACGGCAAATTAACAAATATGAATGGATGTTTGAAACATTTTAATACTGTTCTATATGATGCCAAAAAGATTTGCATGCACGAGGTAAGATTTGTGAAAATGTACACAAGGTTGCAAGCCTAAATTCATTTTGCAAACGCAAGAGAAGACTTATACAGATGGAAATTGTGTTTCAAGTACACAAAAAAAAGATTTGCAGCATTTTACTGTTTTTCATAAGTGCAATTCATGTATTATGAAACCGCAGCTTCATGTTAACGCAAAATAAACATGATCTGTAACGTATTCATTTGACCTTTTTTTTCCTGCAGTTTCACAATACATGAAAAACACTTGCAAAAGTTTTTTTTCCCCCTCACACTTGAACGCGATATTACGGAGCCCGGGAAGTCACCTGTAGGAGAAAAAAAACAATCCGGTTTTGCAATCCGTCCCCTCAGTTTATAAACCGTACTCACAAATTCTTAAACTGTTCCCTCGTTTTAACAAATCGTGCCCACGGATTAATAAACCGTACTCACGAATTCTTAAACTGTTCCCTCGGTTTAACAAATCGTGCCCACGGATTAATAAACCATACTCACAAATTCTTAAACTGTTCCCTCAGTTTAACAAATTGTGCCCACGGATTAATAAACCGTACTCACGAATTCTTAAACTGTTCCCTCGGTTTAACAAATCGTGCCCACGGATTAATAAACCGTACTCACGAATTCTTAAACTGTTCCCTCGGTTTAACAAATCGTGCCCACGGATTAATAAACCGTACTCACGAATTCTTAAACTGTTCCCTCGGTTTAACAAATCGTGCCCACGGATTAATAAACCGTACTCACGAATTCTTAAACTGTTCCCTCGGTTTAACAAATCGTGCCCACGGATTAATAAACCGTACTCACGAATTCTTAAACTGTTCCCTCGGTTTAACAAATCGTGCCCACGGATTAATAAACCGTACTCACGAATTCTTAAACTGTTCCCTCGGTTTAACAAATCGTGCCCACGGATTAATAAACCGTACTCACGAATTCTTAAACTGTTCCCTCGGTTTAACAAATCGTGCCCACGGATTAATAAACCGAAAAATTAATAAACAAATTCATAATCCGTGCGCACGCTTTCGCAATCCGTTCCCTCGGGTTTGTAAACTGTACTCGCGGATTAAATAAATAGCAAAACACTAAGTAAATAGCTTAGTTATAATTTATGTAATTTTTTTTATTGGCATGCTTCTATCCCAAGCGACAATACAGGTGAGAATGAGCCATAGACACTTATTTATACGCAGCCGCAGGTTTCCTCTGCAGGAGAAAAGATTTGTCGACTCATTTGTCACCGCCAGGACAACCGGATGCAGGGCATGCCAAAGGAGTTAGCGATGCTAGATCTCGATTGCCGTAATGGGTCCCCAACTCCATTTGGAATGACCGTTGACCGTCTTCTGGTCAAATACTTAAGGTAGGTACCTCCACCCATAGAATGATGGTGGAAACCAATGATAGAAAACAGAAAACATTCTAACAAGACGTCCCAATTTCCTGACAGTTCCCACCACCAGCACAGGTTGCCGCCGGATGCCATCCCGGAGCCCACTGTTGCCAGTGAGCCTTTATTCATGGGGAATACCCCCCATGCCTGTCAGCCCACATTTGGGGAGTTTGCAGGGATCAGCACGGCCGGAGTGCAGTGGCCGAGCCTCGCCCTGGGTGAACCACCTTCTTGATCATGGTGTCTCCCCTGCCAGGTAGAATATATAATTGTATATAATTTATGCTTTTTATTTTGTAATATATGTATTATTCAACACTGTTACTCTCCCAACTTAATTGTAGTCTGCTGAATTGGCAAGTAAATAACAACTAAGGCAAGGGCACTAAACGTTCATTAGTTTGCCAACAGAGTTTAATTTAATACATTTCAGAATACAGCCTGGTGTCATACACCTGCAAGAGTACCTTAATGTGGCACTACTGGATGTTTAGAAAATTAAGACAACACCAATTATGGTGCTAAATACAGACAACGCCACCCTGGAAATCGGGCTGGGGACCCACACGTACATCAAGCACACAATAGTTTTTTAACATCTTTAACTGTTATGCTTTGCCTGTAATGCCTTTCTTTACTACAAATAGAGTTTGGTATTTGTGATATTAGCAATATGAATCTCTGGCATTTTTTTTGGAGTGTAAATACATCCACTATCCGAGTCATTATTCAATGATTATTCTATCATCCATCATTTCAGGGTTGGACCGGTCTTTCCAACCGCCCGTCTTAGTGAATTTCAAAACCAATTTATTCCGTTGGACCATTGGATTTATTTGGTCACATATTTTACCTGTCAATACATCTTGTCTCTATACTGGACTGCCTGACATCCATATTTAACTGTGTGTCATAAAATATATCACAACCTCAGTTTTTCGCTTAGGATCTCCCTCTATTGCGTGGGCTAAAATAACACTATATTGAGACTGGAGAGCGCATTTCAAAGCTCCTCAGATCATCTAATTTGGTGGAGTAATAGAAATGATCATTCTAAGGAAATGTGATGTACACATGAGAATGTACCAATAATGTTTTTTTTAATGTGCATGCTTTTGTGCGATTACAAATAAACAGAAATAGACACAAATTAATAAGTATGTGTGTCCTCTTTCTTTTGAGAAATACCAGTAAATACCACTTTATTTCTGCATGATTAAAGAGCAGTCCTGGCACAAATGAATTATCATTGTATCATTGTTTTTATTGTAGAACTGTGGTAAAACATTGTTGCTTGGGTTTTAATTCTATAAGTAAAAAACCCCCCTAAAAATTCAAACAATTTATGTTCGTTTTGCAATCTTGCTAGTTTCCAATGTGAGAAAACGTCTTGTTGGTGAGATGATGAGGTTGCGTGCCGTTATTCCAGAGAGGCGTGTTGAGGACATTTTGATTAAGCACAGGTCCGACAGTGGAAACACAGCCTGATTTTGGGCTTGGTGCTACTGGTCCAAGGCTATTTGTCCCGCCAAACCGTTGAAAGCACTGGCTCGCACTGGCCTGCCAGTGGAGAAGCAGATCATGGATCTGTTGACCTGGCCTACTCATCCAGCCAGTCCAGGTCCAGGCCAAGGAAAGACTTTCTTATTACTCCAGAGTAAAATTTTAATTGTGTGTCGATGCTGATGTCCTGCAGCGCCTTGAAGAGGATGACATTCTTGTCCTCTCCGTTTACCTTCATCACACAGTGAAGGGGCTCCAGGTTGGGCCTCTTAGAACAACATTTAATTCTTCGGCCAACTGTGTCTCTGTGGCAATCGCAGCCAGTCTTTGCATCAATGCACAGGTCTCTCTGTCCAGCTTTGAAGAAGAAGAGGTACCTGGCCTGGTCATGAAGTCCCTCCATCATGGCCATCCCTTCGGCTGCTCTGATTACCTTTCCATGGTAATCGCACACAATGTCGCCTTTAGAAAACGGTCGGGTTGTAACCACCCCTATAATCAAGAGAACATTACATTTTAAGATCAAAAGGACAACTGAATACACAATGCATGTACAGGCTATTCAGTATTTGTGACTCTGGAGCACAAAAGCAGTCTTAAGTAGCACGGGTATATTTGTAGCAATAGCCAATAATATATTGTATGGGTCAAAATAAAAAAAAAATATTTTATGCCAAAAATCATTAGGATATCAAGTAAAGATCATGTTCAATGAAGGTATTTTATAAATTTCCTACCGTAAATGTCAAACGTTATTTTTTGATTAGTAATATGCACTCCTAAGGACTTAATTTGGACAACTTTAAAGGCAGATTTAAAGATTCCAGATTTTCAAATAGTTGTATCATAGCCAAATATTGTCCTATCATAACAAACCATACTAAAAAGTATAAATCTCAATTAAAAAAAATTGACCCTTATGGCAGGTTTTGTGGTCCAGGGTCACTTTTTAGTTCTTGGTGCAGCTAACGGTGGCTGAAATGTATATTTAAGTGATGGTATTTTCTCCCCTTACAAGGAAAATTAAAAGGTTTCTTACCTAGACCCTCCTCAGCTCCAAAGTCCTTGACGGCCAGGCCTGTCCAGGCCTGCTCAGACACACATTTGATTATAACCTCATCTGCCTCAATGGTGCCTGTGGGCGCTTTTTTCGATTTTTTTCTGGCTTTGGATAGTTGGCCTTCCACCCCTCCTGTGCAATCAGCCTTGCCACCTTTGAGGCAGAAGGCTTGTGATGTGTGAATTGTGCTGAAAGAAAGAATGAAATAATTTTACTCACGCAATTCACTTGTCACAATGAATGAATGGCCGATTTTGTGTCGAGTTAATGAGTTTCAGTGCTGTATTAATGCATTGGAGTCTCACACAGCAGATATTCCTCTCTCTGGGTATACTGGGTGGCTCTCCACCTGTCGTAAAAGACACGGTCTTTAGGAAACCCTGAATTGACCCGCCGCTTTTTGGTCGGTGGCTGGCCCTCTAACGAAACCGGAAACCTGGCCAGAAAGGCAGAGAAGTCTTTCCGCGAAGCGTGTTGCTCCTTGCTGGTTCCAGCAGTACTCAGTTCAGCCAAGGAGGTGTCATCATCCGAAGAAGTGCTGTGTAAGTGAGAAAAACAGTGTTTAAAATACAAGAAAAATTAGCTAATCAGCTGTAGAAATTTTTGGTGGTGTATTATTTGCTTGTTGAATGAAGAGACCTACCCCTTCAAGGAGTCCAGCAGCATAGCTGCATCCACAATATCCTGAGACTGTGGCCTTCTGTCCGCACTAGTTCTATGGGCCAGGTAATGATTCACGGCCTTATGTTGGTGCGCTGGGAGCTTTTCTGCAGCTTTCTCAACGGCCCTCCGTACATCATAACTCCTGAAAGGGGTCAGCTTATACCTGCAGTGAGAAAACGTGACATAAAATGTTGACTGTGACTGACCAGCCAAAATAAAGTGTATCCATTTACACAAGTGCACATGGGTCTCTATTGGTACCTACATTTCATGGAGGCGAGTCATGTCTTGTGAGACACTGTGAACAGCCTCGCCGGACGTGGAAGTAAAAAAACTTTGGCAGAATTTTTTGAGCCCAATGTTCTTAGGCCTGATCTCCTTGTAGTACAGCTGAAAGCACTATGGAATAACACTAAAGAGTTACTGAATGTAAACACTGGTGGGTATGCAATATGCTCTTTAAATCATACTAAAACTTACAGCTTCCTCATCTTGTGTCAAGGCGATTTGCATACTTGCCGTTTTCTCCTTCCTTACGCCGATCACCACCCTGCCACCTTGTGCAATCCTATCTACCCAGTCTGCATCCTGCAACATTGGAAAGGTTTAATTTACTATTGCATACGTGTTCAAACACTACATCATATCATGAGTACAAACTCATTGAAATACATGAACTTACTGTCAAGCCTTCCACAGCTCCTGGACTCTGCATGTGACGGAAGACCAAGAGCGCCTCACAGTAATAGCGGTACAGCTTCTTCTCTGTATTTGAGACCACTTTGCCCATAAGCAGATTCTCATGGATCCTGAGGAAGTTTGGCTTTACCACTCTCAAAATCTTCTGGCAATCTTTAATGCAGGGAGTGCCATCAGGTCTGTGTTTGGATTAAACATAACAAACAAGACTGGTTATTAACCACTTTTTGAGCATAGACCTGTGTTAGAAAACACTCTCTGTCTCTCTGTTGAGTCCAGACATGT